AAAAGCCAATCAGCTGATCATTGATCAGTTTCATAATTGAAGTAGCAACAGGGAGGGAGGGGGAGAGAATGAGAGAAGAGGCAGCTGTGCGGCAAAGACAGAATAACTTCAGCTTTGTGCCTTTTTTTTCATTCTAGCTGAAGTTCGGGAAAAACCGCTTCCTTTTCGCCTCAATATGAAACTCCAGTCCAGTTGTGGCTCCATATGTCAGTTGTTAAGGTAAACATTGAAATACTCTGCAAACATTCAGAGATGCACTTACACACTTGTTTTACTCTGGGATAGTTTTCTCTGAGATGAAATGCTGCGGTTTGGAAGCAGGTAGCGAGGCTCCAAATGCTCCACCAGACCACTGACATCAGCTCTATCACATACTGCTCTGATGCGCTGAGCTGGGTTAGGCCAAGTAGCGTTTTGTGAGGTGATTTTGTGATACTTTGGATCGGATAACGTTTTTTATTCCTCTCTGATATCCAATTCAGTAATTTAGGTCAGTATCGCACCGATACCAATACGTAATATCGGATCGGTCCTTCTCTAATTTTCACGTACTTTACATTTGTTTTGTAGTTGTGTCTTATTTTGAAATAAATATTTAGGCGTTACCATATCGACCAAAGAGCTTTAAGGGGGAGAGAGGAGGATGTTACTCTCAATGTTGTTGGCGCATTTCAGGAGGACACTTCTAATAAAGTTACACAATTACACCGTGAACTTGCGTTGATTATTATATTTTCAAAATACCACAGTTTTTGTTTTGGTGGTATCATTTTATTTTGTTGTATTTATCCGCGAAACGTTAAGGCCGGTCCGTGAAAATATGTGTGAAATATATGAAAACGATGTGCCGGGAGCCGCGCCTTGACCACCCGGTCAGCTGGTGGGTAACAGGCATCTCCGAAAACGTTACAGCACTTTTGCAAATATGTCTTGATAAATCGAGCAGATATTTGAAGTTTACGCAGAAACATTCTCGACTGAAAATATTTTAAAAGTTTATTTTGTGATCCAGAAAGAGTAATATTTCAAACTCCACCTCTGCGCGTTCCTCCGCCACTGCCTCGTTTGAGCTTTGGACGAAAGCATTCTGGGATATTGCATTTCGTCATTTCGAGCTGATTGGAGACCAAAACAACCAATCAGAT